TGTTTAACTATCATGAGCTTCGTTTTTTGGTGATTATTTCCTTTCTTCTTATTTGTGACTTCAACTTGTGATTAAGGGTTGATAATGTAACGAGAAATTAAATGTTAGTAACTCCTAGGTTTTAAGACTACCAAAAAATGACTAATGTCTGAGAGCGAAACCCCCTTCAAATTGCCAAATATCAGTTTCGTCTGGTGTCATGATGAGTAAACATCGAGGCGAACCTTTAATTTTTCCTTGCGAAATTGGGAGAATCGTAGAATTAAATTTAAATTTCAAGCCCAAAAAAGAAGTAAACAGGCAGGCAAATTAAATCTTAAGCAAATAGTGGAGATAAAAGCCAATCATGTAAACAAGATTTGAATTTATAAAAGACAACTGAGATAAGGAAAGGGCTTTTAGTCTTTAATACCCCAAAATCAAAACTTGCTTTGAAAAAGGGGTGTTTCGTCTAAAATATCGGAGAATTTACAAACCTCCTTTGAATAAAAAGCGTAGTACTGAAATTTTTATCATTCAGACGATGTTACGATTGAAAAGAAAAAACACACAAGTGTGTGCCTAATTTTTTACTTTCCATAACGAGCGGACTTCTTCCTATTTTATTTACACATTATCCAGCAAACAGGTAATGAGAATATTCAAATTTATCTCGTAGATGTTGTTATCTTGATCTGATATCAAATTCCTGTAACTAATTGGAAGGAAATGTTTAGCAGCCAAAGGGAGAATTGACGCACAATGAGTGAAATTTCCGCACTGCCCCATATTACATTATGCATTCAGTTCTTGAATAGAGAAAAAATGACAAAAACTGGGAGAACAGATTTGTTTTACAATAGTATGGGGCTGTACGGAAACTTTACCCGCACAATGTTCAAAACTAATGCCTCTAGGAACAAGCTATAGATATACTCACTATCAAAATTAATATGCGTAGCTTAAGACACCGAGTTTCGCTTCAAATTTGTAACTTTTCAAAATTTAAGAGCACGAACCACGCTTTCGCCACAGTGTTAGCGCGGAATTTCAACAAAGAAGATGAAAGATTAGAAATGATTCTCCGCGCGACAACAGTTTCAAAGAAGAATTTCAAGGAAGCCAGTTTAGCAAAAAAAAATACGCACTAGAATTTGTACTAATAAGTAATGAATAACTAGGCAGAAAGACGAGCGACTAAAAAGAATTAAAGGGTTTCATGAAACGAAGCTTCGACCTAAAACCCCTCTTGAATTTGTAAATGGCTAAGGTTCCTTTTAGAATTAGTTTACACAGTTTTACTTGTTTACATAGGCGTCGATAAACACTTACCTGCTTCCGTCCGTTACCAGAAATGATACGTGATGTCAAGTTTGACAAAACGAGAAACGAAAGAGGGCTTCCAAAGGAGAAAACACTGGACAAGAATTGATCACTGAAGTAGAATTTCTTTAAGCTGATAATTTGAAAAAGCGCGCTTTTTAAAACTTATGCGCACACGTGGGTTATTGAGCTCTTCCCTGAATGGCTCGTCCAACTGCACGGATTTTGAGCACGCACGATTTTTCTAATTAGCACCATTCATTAGAGGCACATTTTGTTACGGTAGACGCAAACGGCAAATTAACATCTGGTTTCTCTCATTTTTCTTCCAAGACAAAACACAGAAGGGCCTCGCAATAAGTACAAAAGTTTTGCAAAAAATTCATAAACTGATAGGGAAGTAACGAAACTTCAATTTTCGTCGTAGTCGTTCGTCGTGGTTTATTGAGCTCTTCCCTGAATGGCTCGTCCAACTGCACGGGTCTTTAGCACGCACGATTTTTCTAATTAGCACCATTCATTACAGGCACATTTTGTTATGGTAAACGCAAACGGCAAATTAACATCTGGGTTTTCTTCGTTTCAATGAGTATACTGTTGGGTTTTTTGCAAAAAAAGCATCAACTGAAAGGGAAGTAACAAAACTTCAATTGTTCTCGTTGAAATCAAAATAGTAAAATATAATGTGAAGTAAAGCATAGTAATTTTTTACACGGGTTTTAACGGCAGAAATGATAGGAAAATAGTCAACTAAACTTGTAAGAAAACTTAACTCTGCTGTCCACCTGGCCTCGGTTGTTCGAAGGCTGGGTCTTGCTATCCACTAAATAAATCTCCATCTAACGGTTAAGTGTTTACAAAACAAACCACGCTATTTTAAGCGCTTTATTTGCACGAGACTTTTGGTCTTTCTATTAGCGCAAGATTCACATCTGTGAGTGTTTTCTTAGCCTGGAAGGTTATCTCTAGATTAACCGTTAGTGCACCAGATTGTTTGTTGTACGAGGTCATATGTATGACAACCATTCTATCAAGGAACCTGCAGCCAACGTCCACATTCTCCAAGATTGATATTATAACGAACCGGGCGATAATTTTAAATTTCGGTTAAAAGAAGGGCCGCCTATTGGAAGGAGGAAACTTAATCGAGGGGGAGGGGGGCATTTATTATCATCACCCAGTACTGATTCCACTGTAGTTAAAGCTTAAAAATTTATAGATAAAAACGCAAAAGGGACGGGTCTTCCTTACATCCCAACCATCTAAGACCATCTATGACCATCTAAGATAGTGGGGGAGAAGGGGATGCTTATTTAAGAGGGGCGCTTGTTTGACATTATGTTTAAATCCAATCGAATCGAAGAATTGTTACAGGCAAAGTACACACAAGACTGCACAATCACGCAAAGTTCACTGAGTCAATCGCATATTGGGAACTTTTGAGGCTTAGACGATCTCACAACGTTGTGTAGGTTCACCTGCTTGCATGTGTCGTAACCGCCACGGAATATTTTCTCTCCAGTTTGCTGGCCATAGATCCATCATTTCGATCACGCTCGGTTAGGGTTAATTAAAAAGTTTAGTGAATTTGAATCACAAATATTTTTTTTTTTTGGGGGGGGGGGAAGGGAATTGTGTCTCGCTTACTTTAAAAAAGAGTGTGAGAAATTATATTTCACTTCGTGGTTTTTGAAGCCGCCTTTCTCAACAGCGCTAGTTTAAAATTCAGTTGCCTGGCTCGCGACATAGATTTTTATTTTTCCAGCGCGGTTTTCACAACTGCTTGTAGTTAAAGAATCTATTACAGGGGACGTTTGGATCTAAGCCTTACTCTTTTTCAAGGGGGGACTTTTGTATGGCGCAGTGAAGGGAAAATTGGCAGTAGGGATGCTAGTATACTAGAATATTAATACCAAGCGCGCTCTTCGTGTAATTGTTAATAACATAAGGTCTTTCATAACTGTAAACATTTTATTTGCCCCTCACATTCGTTGGTAACAGTAGTAAGATTTTTAGAAAAAAAAACAAACAAATGAAAAGAAAACAGTGAAGTTAGGGAACTTAAACCTTTAACATTTCATAGAAAAAAGAGCACAGAATACCTATGGGGAGAAATTTAAATAGTGCCACCTACTTTTCTCCATTGCCTTTCATTTTTTTGATCGATAAAATTTATTAAAAATGGATGGCTGTAAGAAAAAGTACACGACGTCAAAAAGATCACACTGAAGTGGCTATTGATCACAAAATTTGGTTTGTGTTCCTTCGAATGATTGTAGTAAGAAAACACATCGAGGTTTTTCCTATTCAACTGCAGGTTAATTAGATATTGTATTTTGCATCCAAACTGGGATAGCTTAAATTTATTCATTTTTTATGTGCCACGGTTTGCTTACTTGGAAAGGCAATTCTAACTATAGCTTAGCAGATGTTTTTTTCGCAATTAACATCCCTAATGACTTTTAATTTGACATTGGCAAAAAGGTGGAAAAACGAGAGTGGAAAATAAGGTGGAAAAAGCGTGAGTGATGAAGGATCTAGACTGAGATGTGATAACGTAAGAGACTAAAATAGTTTGAAATACTTGTCTTTAATCTCATATAAAAACACCGAGTTGGCTTGTCTGAACAGTGTGTGAACCTTCATATTGAACGGTTATTTAATAAAATGAAGTGCAAATTCTGCCGCCCTACATTTGAGTTAATGGATTGATATTGAGGAGCTTCAAACAATTCAAAAATATCTGAAAATCAACCAAACAGAAATAAAAATTTAGCGAAAGATTCAACGCATGATCAGTAATATAGAGTTTTAATGTCAACAACTTTTATCAGGTCAGACAAACAGTCACTTGATATAAAACACAGTACACAGACAACATGGTGGTTGAAGTAAACTGACCTGTTGAAGAGCTTTCATTAGATACAATCTAGCAAACATTGTAGGAAAGAGATGCTGTCTTGGCTCCTGTTGCGTTTAAAAGAAAACGAAATAGATTATAAAGCACGACTGTTGCAACCAACTAAACTGCTTTAATTATTTCAAAATCTGCGATACACCATATGCAAAGTGAGAATCCTGACAGTGTGCATTGTAAAAAGAAAAGGAATAATACTGCAATTAAAATACGAGCCTATCTAGTTGTTACATTTTGCTCGACTAGCAGATTTTATACTAGCACGCGTCATTTAAAAAACTTAATTACGCAATTTGTTTGATTAGTTCTTAGTTATGATCTACAGGAGGACAGACGCATGGATGACGTCATCATTGACAATTTTTCGCGCCTTTTTTTCTTACATAAAACAAGAAGCACACGGCAACATGGAATCTATTTGTGAAATAGGGAACGAGAGTCAACAATCTAAATGTTCAATTGCAAGTGGTAAGTTTGGTTTTCCCTTGTAAGCCAATATTTGCTGTGTGCGTCAAGTCCGTGTGCGCGTTAAGTCCACGTTGAGATATCAGAAAGATGGGAAATAAAGTGCACTTGGCACCTTTAACTGATAACTGCATTTCACTTTTTGGCTAAAAATCACTTACTCCAAGTATGTGAACTCGGCCGTAATAAGAACTGAACTTGTGGCTTAAATTGAAAAGGAAACAGCAGATCTGAAAAAAATTCAAAAGCAAATTAAAGCAGCAAAAATCAAATAGTGATTTACGGGGGTAAGTTTCTAAAGAAATTGTGGTGCTGCGTCGGTGGGAAAGTATAACAGGGTAATTTAGAGTTATCAAACGGTGGCCAAATTACATTATCAACTCAGTTGATAGTACTAAATTACCCTGTTAAAAATCAAATAGTGGTCTATTTGCATTCTGGCGAATATGAAAATTGTTCAGTAAGGGTTAAGAAAAATTGCAAAGACCATGCACTTTAAGTACTTCCTGAATAATTATACCAGTCAGTTTAATTACTTACAATTCAGCAGGATCATCATTTTACTATTTAGTGCGACGTCTTGTAAGTTTGTGAAATAGTAAGACAATTAAACTGCTGCTCAGTCTCAAGGAATATCACCTGTTCGTTCAAGCAATCAACATTTAACAGGGAAACACATTCGTATCAGGTGAGGATGTCTAAACATGTCGTCCTAATTAGCCCAAACAAAAAAAGTAAGATTTTCTTACTTAACACCACACAATCTCTTACTTAAGGTTTCTGAAAAAGACGCAATGAAAGTAAAAGAAGAAACAGTTTCTGTAATAATCACTAATTGTTCCACAGATACTGCAGCCCTTGCCCTCGTATGGCTGAGATGTTCAATGAATAAAGACTGAGAGCACAGTGTGTTAATGAGTGTGGGTATAAATAATCCATGATTGCATGCACTCAACTTTTTATTATTGACCAAAGGTATCAAAATTAACAATTACAGTATTAACACCTCCTCTACTGAAATGTACACTTTACTGACCTTATTTGAGTGAATAATGACATTTTGAGATTTTGATGTACACATTTTCAGTCCAGAGACAGCACCCTTAATCACAGATGGAAAAGCTACTATAAAATGTAAAGTCAACTCCCATTCAGCCTGTTTAAGAAAACAAAGAATTCTCTGGCTCAGATACATAATGAATCAATAGAACCACAGAGTATATTTATATCTGAAAGACAATTAATTCGTGATTTCCTGTTCCTTGAAGCACAAAAAACAACTGAAATTAATAGGACTTAGTTTTTTTGATTAAAACATGGTATACCTGCAGTTTTAAACATTGGTTTACAGAATTAAACATTCGTTATTGGTGATGTAAATTTTTTAATTCAATTTCAAGGTTCAATTTATTTGGTTAACTTTAGGACAATTTGCAAACCTATCCCAGTAGCATAAAACATAATAACCTTACACTAAGGTGAAAAATGAGGAAGGAAAAGTGGGACTGACTGAAACAAAATCAAGGTAAACTTCCGTAGACAGATCAAGTTACATTGACTGGTAAATATGTGTTGTTACTTTTTGCAACATCCAAGGTTTCCTAATCCCTACCTCTGAAACTCATAGCTCCTTAATTTATTGGTAGAAAGACACTGTGCTTTCAGACATGTGCAGTCCCAAAAATTCAAAGGATCTCTAACTGATATTCTTCATACAAGCCATTGCAGTTTCTGTCAGAAGTCACTTACATGATCACGTAGCAGGCTAAAATCCACCTCACTGACGGGAGGTAGTGCTGGATAAACACCTGACGGAATTTAAAAGGTTCTAGTTAGTAACAAATTCACCTTTTGACCCATTGAGTGATCATTGTTCACAAGAACAGAGATCACTCAAGGGGGCAATTGAGAAACAGTTGAGGGTTTGCATAACTTTCAAGAATTCTTCCAACCCCTGAGTATTTAGATGAGGATATGAAAAAGTTCTCTATTGCTTTTATAAATAAATATTTCTAAAAAATAATTTAACAGATGAAAGCATGACATCACAACCATTAATTTTTCATTTAACTCTCACTGAAACATTTATCATTTCTAACATGTAAAAACAGTTGTTCTCACCTTTCTGGACATTCTCCTCAAAGTTTGCAAATAATTTAGCAAGCCTGGCACAGTTGTATAAAACAAAGGTGGCTTGCCTGAATTCTCTTGAGGTTTCACTTATGTCAATTTTTATCTGCCAATAGTAACACATATTTTACTAATAATTTACTACTTTTCTTTTTTCCAAAGTTACCACCACTACAAGAATCAGATTATTACACCATGTGAAACATGATAATAATATCCAATGTTGTGTGTGTGTGTGTGTGTGTGTAACAAAGGAAAAGAATTTGAATCCTCAGACTTTCTAACTCTGAAGTACATTAGTAGTAGAACTGGATGTTCTACAATTGATGTACAGAGTCAAACAATGCAAGTTAATAAGAACCTAGATGAGCCCACTTGTCTGTGGCATAACTGTAGCTTATTAATAAGTTCTTTGTACCACAGTGGTAGCTAGAACATCTAAACTAAATAAAATCTGTGGCTCAAATGCTCATGTGGTACTTAGATTTTTCTCTGTTGCACACTCATGACAAGTGTTTAACACCTTTGTTTGTCTGCCTTAAAGCAAGGCTCCAGAATAAAAAACATTTTGATGTTCATATTTTTTGCCAAAATCTCAAAATTTGCAACATACGTTTGGCAGTCAACTGGCCAATCTATGTTGAAATCCTAACTTTATCCTCAAAGAACAGCCTTGTAATACTCACTTCACTGTTTGGAGCAGAAGAAAGAGTTTCTAATTTGATTGCAGCCACCGCCATTTCCCTAATTGATGTGTCCCAGCCATGACCTTGTGGATGAATAACAACACCATCACTATACTACTCCATCAGTGACTTTTCTTAATCTGAGATTGTATCAACTACAAGTTTATTTTTGACTTCAGGCTCATACCTACAACTTTATTGCCATACTTCAGTACATAAGAAGCTCGAAGTTGTTTTTCACGAATTCTAACAAAAAAGACATGATTACTATTAAAAATAAATTACTGAAAATAGCAGCAAGAGCATAAGAGTATAGAAAAACATTGTGTTTGTTATATAAACAAAAGTCAACATTTTGTCTCAACCCACCTTAGTAACTCCAAGACATCAAGATGATCGTGAAGTCTTTGCTCATCTTTGTACAATGAAACAAGCCCATGTGAAAGGAAAAACTATACAGACAAGCAGCAAGTTAAAATTGCAAGAAACATACTGATTAGTTGCAAGATAATCTGTATGACATTTCAGCTGAATTGATGGGATCAGAACTGCCCAAAAGTATGTGTTGAATTTTTATGCCATAATTTCACATTGAAGTTTTTTATAATTCTCATCCTCAGTGTACTCTGCCTACAAATTAACAATTGCAAAGCGTTTTCATGGAAATTTCTATCCTAAACTCCATATAGTACATTTTTTTTAAGGAAGAAAGTGTGTAACACTAAAACTTCTGTGATTGTATAGTCTGATTTTTACCCCCATGTTTAAACCATTTACAATGATATTCCTGCTTAATTCACTTCTATTGCTCTCAAACAAATTTCATGACAATTGCCTATCTTGGTACATCATTTCCTTGTTTTGATAATAAAAATAGAAAATGGAAATTATTGCTAACAAATTAAAAAAAACAAATTGAGCTAACTCTTCACAGTATTTGATAAAAAAGCTAAAAAAAGTGAAGCACCAGTTTTACCTAGTGTATGCCAGTAGACTGAGCCACCTACAAGCAAACCAGCATATTGTCACTGCCGTGCATGCTGAGCTCTATCCATGTGTAATTGTATTTGGTAGCAACACCTGTTCACCTTCTCCCCCTTCTCCCAAATCCAATTGTTGGCATCACCTTATATACCAATCCCTTACTAGGACAGGTATTTAAGATATGTTATTGCATTTCACCTGGACCTACTACTGGTGAACCACACCCTTGAGTTGTACACCACATTCAACTTTGTGTACCTGTTTCTTCATGGCCAGATTTGTTGATGTCATTTGCCAAACTGTGCTAGTTTGCTGTTGACTAAATGCTTGTTTACAGCTTGTTAAGTGAACCACCATATCTAAATTTCCAGTCTGCATCCATGAAAAAAAAAGAGCAAGGGAAAATCTTCAATAACACATCACATTGTTAATATATGTATGTTATCTATCTAACACAGTAAGGGGTTGGTCTTTTTTCCAACTTACATTTTTTTCAACTAAATCCAACTTTGCCACATCAAGAAGAATTGAACTTGTTGGTGAAACTGAAAAGAAAAATAACAAGAACGATCTAAAGAAATATTTCAGCTTTTAAAATAATCTTGCTCTTGGTAGCAAATGATACTGCAGTAACAACTTACAGTTCTTATCTCTTTGCTTTATTCATAATAGTCACTGCACTACAATAAACAGCTTTCCAATCCGTCTGACAGCCAACTTGGTATTTATGAAACATTTTCCCTTCTTTACTAATTTGGAGCTTATTTGTTTTCTCTCTATCCTTGTCACCTGATATTTGGATCACTTCTAACAGACTCACACAATAACATAAAATAACTGTCTGATCTTATGAAGTTGTTTGTTAATCTTGTGAACTTTGTTACTTATGAAGAGATGCATACCTGACAATTTATTTAGGGTCACTGTAACATTCCAGATGACAAATTTGAAAATGAAACAAAAAATATTATCAGAACCAAATGAAGACATGATGGTACTAATAATATTATTACTGGAGACAGAAATAAGTTATCTATTGAGCAGAGTAATAAAGAAATCTTTTGGCAGAAAATCAGATAATGACTCATATCTCTGCTTAGTTTAAGTCATGTCCTGAATGTATTTTGGTACAGTATAACACAACACAATGACCCAGGAGGAGTTCAGACCCAGACTTCTAGATCTAAAGTCTACTGGCCAACCACTTGGCAACAACGTCACTTTCTTCTCCAACAGATTTGCCATAAAATCTTAAATTACTTTTTTTCCTGTAGGACTAGCTTGATTAAGATCATGAGAAAATCATAAAATCATTTAAAGGTTTTGAGTTTTAAGGGTTTAAAGACATCAAGAATAATGTTATATTTGATACAAATCAATGTGAAATAGCATAAAGTTCAGGATAATGGAAAGGAACAAAATTGTTTTTAATTTAATACAACGTCATGTACATCTGTGTATGTTTTGATTACAAGTCACACAAGAGCTATTTGAGATACTTACCTGAATGCAGCTCATTATCTTGGCAAAAATTGGGCAAATCCAAAATAACCTCATCACAATTTAAATCAGAGTCTTGGCAAGTACATTTACTCTCATAAAGAGAACTAAGCTCAGCCTCATGGATGGCCTGCCTTCCAGTCTTTCTGTTCAATGAGTCCGCATATTTGCCATTTTTTAATATTTCGTAAAGTTCTTCAGCTTTAGTAGTAAGGTCTTTTTCTGTCCACAGGCTGATTTTCCTTACATTAAATAATGATGGAGAGAAGAGGTTGTAGGTTTCCTGGTAGCCTTGGATACTTGCATCCTTACATGTACAAGTTTCTTGGCTCTTATAGTCCAAAGCTGATTTCACGTCAATGCTAAAGAATATTCAAATACATGTCACTGTAATAAATATTGTAAAATTAAGAGGCACAAAAATATGATTAATCCAACACTCAGGAAAGCAACACCCGAGCCAATCAGTGTATAGTAGGTGATGGCAAATCTGTTCTCTGTCAGACCATTTTGTACTAGCTACTTTGCAAATTGTGATCAAATACATGTACAGAAAATAAGACTAGTATTTTTTAACTGATTCTAACATCAATGTCTGCTAGGAAAAAGTTTAAAGTTACTCAAATATGATACAAGTATATCCCAATATGCTAGGACATACTACCTCTCAGAGAGTTTCAAAATTTTACAGGAAGCATGCCCCAAGACCCCCCCCTCCTCCCCATCCTAAAGGGTTGTGCTGGCTTACTACATACCATGCTTGTCTTGCAAGTGTGATTCAATTTAGCCACCCACTCATTTTGATCATACATCCATTACTTTTTCTAATGACAACCCAGGTATATTATTTAAGCATTTGAAACTGCCATAAACTGTACATACCCATTTGCATTTAAAAGTTCCTTAATGTGTTCGCAAATGAGAATTGTTCTCAGTTGATCCAGATTTAAATGACCTTCATCCTCCACATGAACTGAAAGAGAGGGATTCAATAAAACACACTGACGTGTCTGCTTGCTTGACTGTCCATATTGATCTGTTTCTTTGATGATATTGTTGAACACAGCACTTGTTACATCTGCCTTGTTGAGACTCAACAGAAGATGTCCCCCACTTGTCACACAACACTGTCTGACAAACTGAACTTTAGACACATGGTCACTTATCTCCTGACAGAGACTTTGAAATTCAACCTAAAATGTCAAACACAAAACAAAATATTATTAAAAGATACCTCTCTTTCGATTCTCTATCATTAACCAGGACTAATAAATAGTAATTGCCAAAATATGTTTTCTAACATACCATATTCTGTTTATGTACACATTTCTCAAAATTATGAAAAGTCACCTCACTAAGTTGTAAGAGAGTGATTTGATATCTTTATTTGATAACTTAAAAGCTAAAAAAGAGTTGTCCTAAATGTATTTCAGTCATAATGCAGGAGGCTGAAAGAGAGAGTTATTTTGATGAACAGGAAACCAGTTGATTTCTGTCATTAACCATACAAGACAGTTTGGGCTTCCTATATCTAAAAAACAATTATAAGGAACAGGCTTGATGATCAAATGGTGATAAAAAATTGTGAATTTGCTGGTGTTTTGCATGTCAACTACTGTTTTCTGGCTACTTTAAATCACAACAAGATATTCAAGTAAAATTACCAAAACACATAAAAGGCTAGGAGTACAACCCATATTTAAAGGGCTATGGTTACTTTGCTTGAAACAAATCACGTACATTTTATTGTTTTTGACACCTAACAGATTTCCACTTTTGACCGTGCTATTTATCAACCTTTACGGTTGAAAGACTGTAGACAACAATGTACTTGAAAAGAGTAGGAGGCAGCCTACCTCCCCACCTTACCCCTGTCACCTTGGTAACTGGTCAAGTTGCCTGTAAATCATCTCACCAGAAGTCATGTGTCTTCCAGAACCTGAGTCATGTTGCACAAATTTTTTGTCATATTGCCCAGAATAAAAAGTCAAGTTGCCTAAAAGAAAAGCCAGTCAGCCTAAGAAACAAATCCTTAAAAGATCAGACTGGGCGATTGACCGTTAATCATCACCTACCTACCCAACTCCCCTCCCCTCCCCCCCCCCCCCACTCCCTCCCCCGATAATGGTAATGGTAACTTTATTCATACGCGATAAATCCTTCAGCAAATAAATAACCCAGATGTCAATGCAAGCATTTTCCCATTGGGAAAACTTCTTGTAGCACTTGTATGGAAAATTTCAAGCTATCTCTAAGCAATGTTAAGCCCTTCTCTAAACGTGAGTTACAAAAGAAGGCAAATTTCATCACCTTGTCAGCGCCAAGATAACTCCGTACAAAAGCTGGAATGATTAAATCTCCATTTTCCAATTTCTTGTTGAACTTCAGAGAACACGAATCTAGATTCGTTTGATCCATACTAGCAACAGTAGACAAAGCTTCATAGACCAAACCTTTTAGGTACGGCAATAAATCACCACATTCGGTTGCTCTGTTAGCGAAGGTCCCCTCCAGGTCGTGAGCCTCGTTCGCCGATTCGTCCGCCATGTTGCTAGTCAAGCTTCGCTATTGTACCTCTCCTGTTTAAATGGATGAAAGAGACTGGAAGCTAGTTAGGGACACTACGCGCTCCCTCGGAATTTTATTCGCCAAATATACGTTAAATAAGAAAATAATACCACACTGGACATTTTTCATTCATTCTCAAAACCTGTACGATCATATACCACGCCAATTTTTTTTCGCGTTAATGTCTGCGGTAACTTATGTTCAAAACCAAGCAACATATAGGCTTCACACATCCATTCAACTAACAAGCTTAGCAACCCGAGTCTTAAGGAAAAAAATGTACTGACAATCACGTGATATTATATCCAAAGAGTTTTACTTACAAGGTTGATAATTGGTGTTCTACACCCTCCAAATATCCTCTAATTACCATGATGTAAATACTCTTTATCATCTTGAATCGGTCGTTAAATCAACTTTCAAGAAGGTTCTTATCAAGACCTGAAACTACAAAATTAGCAGATGAAAAAATTGAAAACATCAACAACCAACTGCATTGAAAAAAAATTATTTCATCTATGATTAGCTTCTCAGGTTGCCAGGTTCTCGTCCATGAATAAATGAATGAACATAGATTAGCATTATTTAACTCTTTCATTACTTGCCGATCATATCAGTGGAATCAAAGGTGAATCGTTCTTAGCGCTACGACCCTTAACCCTTAATCGGTCCAATTTGTTTAGTTTCCGGGAAAGGTAAGATAATCAGGTCAGTTATTAAATTATTCACCAATCACATGTCTGTAGAGAAAGTGATTGTGTTCGTTCATATCAGATTAGTAATGAACACTTTGATTGAATGTGTTGTTAGTCTTTGCTTTCGTGGCAAAACTGGCAAACGATATCTTTCATTTGATGAATATCATTACATTAACCGACCCGTAGTTTTGTTGAAGAGTACAAGGTTAATATGCACATATTTCACGATACAGGCAGTATTTTTCAGAGTGTGGCCTTGAAACTTGTTTTTAAAAGTGACCATGGATAATTTTTCCTCTCTTTGTAGCGAAATTCTTCGTTGAATCTAATTAGCTTACAGGAGAATGTGATGTCTGGTGACGCTTGTTTAACAATTGTTCTCGTTTGTTTAATTACAAGTTTAGGCCAAGAATTTCAGTTCATGCACCTGAAAAGTTTGATGCAAGAGCCATGTGAGTGCAGGCCTCGCGACTTTTTCCTGACCGGTTGATGTTACAGTTCGGCTCTATACTCATTAGCTTTTAATATGGTTTTCCAGAGGTTTGCGCGAGCGGAGCTGTACGGGGTCATAGCTTAAAATTCGCCGTTTTCAGATCTCAGAAATTTTTGAAACTGCAGAATGAAATTACCGCCCCTCAAGCGGGCTGACTTGTGGGATCAACGGTAGACATTATTATATTTTCAACATAGAGTTTGCAGACTGAGCCAGGGTAGTACATTACTGATTATCTTGCCTTTCTACCGTGACATGTAATCTAAACCTACGAACAAAAATTTTTGTCGTTTGTTTAGTCTTCACAGGCTGAAGGAAGATGTTTCCCAGATTTCCTCCGTTACATCATACGGTATTCATCGCGGCCTGCTTGGTTGGTATGTCTGTGCTTGTGATCCTGTGGCATTTTGAACTCACAGGTAATGAGTTATTAGGAAAATCACCACATTGGTTACTAAGGTGAATTTCTTACACGAGTCCAAGTGTTTGCCTGGTTTATGATTGATAAGCTATTGAATCTCAAGGGTTTCGCTGTCTGAGGTAGATTAAAGTTCAGATAGGGCAACTGAGAATATCCAGAATAACCACTTTAAAATTTAAGAGTGTGATTTTACTCTGTAATGGATAAAAGTAGGTGAAATTCAAATTTTTGCAGTGTAGTCTCCTTATTACGAAGGTCCTTAGCTTTGATGTAGCGTCCGTCCCTTCATTCTACAATAAACCGGCATGGAAAGAATAAAAGACTCACACTAATGTCTGCATAAAACTGTACTCATTTTATACAATTGTCCATACGTATCTGCGACAAAACCATCAGAAATATGCGATTGACACCTGAAAACCTCGAATTATTTAAAATTTGCTCCCAGTCTGATGTGCTGGTTCATATAACTAAGAATTTGAATTATGACATAAAAATTAGGACATAAAAATTGCACCATAAGGCATGGCAAGTCACCTAATGCGATGTTTTGGATCAGAGATTCTCTTTTGAAATTTTCTTTCAGGTAAAACTGGCAGTGACAGAAGTGACACATATCTACGCTCCATCCAGAAAAGGGCCTTAGAACACACATCTCAGGAGCAAAACAATGTCAACAACGATGGATCAATGAAGTTGACAGGTAAACCAAATAAGACAATAAGTACTAATTGACATAGAAAATCCATTAGTTTACAAACAGAAACTCATCGATTGGCGCTGCTGAGCATATCGAGGGCTTCTTACGAAGTCTGTTAGTGTCAACCCGGCCTGCCTTTCCCTCCGGAGGCCGGTAGGAGCGGTCATTTCTCGTCCCAGACCCCTGGTTGCGGGAGAAGCCCACGAGATTCTTGTGAGGCAGTGCTCGCGGGCTCGCGGGCTTAAGACACAATTACACTTGGGAGTTTTGTTGAGGGTCATATACCTTCCCTCAATAAAGGCTGATAAAGGAAAAGTTACTGATGTGAAATTCCCTTCACCCTTTACTATGTTTTATTTCAACTATTTTACTCAAACAGATTCCTTCGAAATTTGTTCTTGACCGTTGCATTGTTCAAATGAATTGCCTTGTCATTTCTTTTGCAAGTGGACTTCATAGAGTCATTAAGGTTATATTGAAACTGTAAGATAGCACTAAGGTAGACGGATAATCTTTTAGTTAACCCAGAGGTTTTTTTTTATCTCACCTTGTAAACTGGTTCACAGTTCTATTTATCCAGTTCCAGGCGTTTACTTTCTTTTTCCGCTCTGTCTGACAACTGAGCGGCTAGAACAGGTTAGGTTTTTGGGTGACTTCTCAATGTTTGAAATGATTCTGTCTTTACATCTCTTACAGAGGAAGTAACAAGCAAAAACGAAATGTATGATCGAGTGAACACGCTGTTGCTATTTGTTGGTTACTCTCGCAGTAGACACAGCTTAGTTTCTTCATTACTTGACGCTCACCCTCACATGATAGTTGCAGATGAATCATATGCACTGAGAAAATGGGTTCAGCAACCAGCATGGAAAACGGAAAAATCAAGATATGAATTCTTCGATACAATGTTGGGAAACTCAGCGCGGTCTGTAAAAAGAGGTCGAAGGTCTCGCGTAGCAAACGGAAGCGCAGCAAATTTTCAAATCTTCGGCTACCGTATTCCAGATCAGTGGCAGGGAACATATGATCGATACATACAGGTGAAATATAAAACTTAAAATATCAATTTCACGGGCTGTAAATCGATGTAAATGTTGTACAGCTCAATCAAATTATATTCCAACAAATCTTCTCGAATCATAACCATTTTGGTCATGTTCCAGGCATAAACCTTGGGGCTTTAGCGATCATATCTGAAAAGATATTGAAGGCTGAAATAATTTGTCATTCAAAATGCCTCATTTGCAAAGAACGTTTGAATCATTTTTCATAAATCCTGTAAGCATTTTCTTTAACTAGGAAATCACAATTAAGAATGTGCAAGGTTCAGTCTAACCGTCGCCTCAAACTAATGACCAGTCCGTTATCTTACTTTGTTTTGTAAATGAACTGCAGGTGATTGGAGACAAGACAGCTTGGGACACTGCAGTAATGCTTCGTCTGCTTGGAACACGAGCCATTTATGAAATGAAAGAGAAACTTGGAGTGAACATCAAGTTCATTCATGTTGTCAGAAACCCATTTGATAACATAGCCACATTTGTTCTTCGACACAAGGACATCCAGGCCAGGACCGCTGACCCAAATGTCAAGGTACGCATATGCAAATCACGTGTCGAGGGTCAACAATGAATTGAAGGCGTCGCCAATCGCTTTGTTTCGGCCCATTTATTATTATAGAAAACAATCTGATTTTTTACGTGTTTGCGAATTACTGGCATTTTTTAAGCATCATCTTAATTAACTGCAGCTCAATTAAATAGGAGACATTTCAAAGAGATGAAACAATTAAGTAAACACTAATACAAAATCTACCATTTACATCTACTAAGAGGTGCATCTCAATTCCAAACAGATCAATGCCAGTGAAATTTTAGACGAAAAGATACAACTTTACAACAACTGGGCAGAAGGAACCTTTGTGGCCCACAAATCCTCTCCGGAGGACTTCCTCAGTGTTGTTAGTATGGATGTCGTAAAAAGGCCAGCGGAATCGCTCAGGAAAATGTGCCATTTCCTTCAAGTAACTTGTTCAGAAAGCTACATTCAGGACTGCGCAGCGATAGTGGACCCAGTCCCCTCAATTACCCGACACCGCATTATGTGGACGGAGAAGCAGATAAACAGAGTTTACGCCACAATGAGGGCGTTCCCGGTATTGTTTGAGGGATTTACGTTCGAAGACGTATGACATACGTCTTAGAAATACTAGACATATAGATAATAAATCTTTTTGGAACAGACCAGTGCAGTTAAAACTTTGCTTTTTGTGAGTATTACAAATCCTTTCAATTCCTTCTCTTTCAGTTACTCAGCTCTCGAATGTAAGCTAAAGCAGAAGACACTTAATAGAACTAAAGCAGAAAAAGTTGTTAATAAGGTAAAAATAGAATTTGGACAAAAGATCGGGAAGTTCTCCCAGATGACCAGGGCCCTGAAGATAGCAAAATCTAACAAATTATTTGTCTCCCTTTATTAACAGTTAGGAAATAGTGTGATAACTTGTAAGTGAAATTCCTGCAAGTGAAGAAAATCATGCAACTACACTGGTTGGCGGCAAGTGATCGATACCGGGCAATACATATGTTTATTATTGCAACCAAAAATAGTTAACACTGAATTTGTCGAGACACTGATAAGAAATTCAAATCCACAAATCTTTTCTGATATGTCATAAATCCTTAAAGTTGTCGCAGGTAACGGCAATAATCATTACCTTGTCAACTTGACAGGCCTTTTACAAAGTAAAACGCTTTTCCCACCTTTTTGTGTCGAAGCACAGCTCCTTTGATTGTCGGTCATTGTGATAGAAGTAAGTAAGCGTGATCATCTTCAAAAAGACAAACGTAAATGCCGGACGGTACATTTGTCGCACAACTGAAATGCTACAAGAAGTCGTGAGGTCATCGTTCATTTGTTATCAGTGCCGATGTTTTATTTGAAGTGTTTCTGCATCGCTTGCTCTCGAGCGCCGTTTGAATCGCTTGATCTTAAAGAGAAATTTCAGTGCCGTCTGAAAATCTCGCCTAAAAAGTGTATACAAAACAGGGTTTGTAACAGAAGTAGCATATCTAACTAAAACAAACACGTGAGCTGGGATTTCCAATTCCTTAACATCGTTCATTATTCTGTATAACAACATCACGATGTACCATGGCAACCAACAAAGGAGAAAGATTGTGGCCATAGTAACAACAAGAACCAAGCACTTTTTCTCGAGGGCGGCTTGTCGACGACGATCATAGATTGTCGGTCTCCAAAGCAACGAAGGTGTTTCCTGACGGTTTTCTCTGATTGGAAATTGCTTTAAAGATAAAGATAAAAGCGTAAATCATGAATGCATACGGCAACGAGGCAAAAAATGACATGTCCCTACTTCAATCGCGCTTGTATTTTCAAATTGTCAATGCATAGCAATGCAAAAGGACTAAATGCCACAATGATAGACAACGCCCAAACTACTTTGAGCACTTTGCAAACTGATTTTTTTGGTCATTAATCGATGTGTTACTGGCCAGATGATCGACAGATACTTCTCTGTTGTGGCGATCAGTATATGATAACAAGATGATATGGCGGTCAAATTGTTCAGTACACTTACCGGGATGGCCATGTAATATCGAACCTCAAACGACTTAATAACTGGTGTGAGCGATTCAGTTATAAAGAGGGGAATATTGATGATCCCTGTCATGAAGTCACAAACTGCCAGGCTGAAAAGGACATAGTTTGATGCTGTTTGGAGCTTGGTATTCTTTTTAAATAAAACCAGCACCAAGCCATTTGCAATGGTGACCAGGAGCGCAACAGGAACAAGCTCTGCTACGGCTTCAATGTTGACGCTGTTATGGTTGAGCAAGGACGGCCTTTGTGCAGTGGCGTTTGTGTAGATTGAAACCTCCATTGTTGGTACTTCTGTCGATTGTTAAGTTCTTCTGTAAAGTTAATAAGAAGTTAAAATTTCAATTAACAACTTCTAAATTACGTTGGGTGAATTGTCAAGGGAAAGCAGTAACCGCGTCTAACACTTGTTCTGTGATTATTCTTTATTATTCTGAAAGCTCAAGATAGAAAAGTAAGAAGGTTGCGTAAAAACTGTTCACAACATTGTCTGATTATATCAACTGGTACTTGAATTAGCCCGCTTAACTATGCTTGATAAGCATGTCAAACCATCGGCCCGATTAACCATGCTCTTTAAGTATGTCTAATCATAATGTCGGTCACCTAAGGCTTTGACGTTCGAACTCCACATGTGGTAATTTACCCCATCAACAAACTAGGGTTTTATTGAAAGTGGTTAGTACAAATTTCAACCTTCTGGCGGCCTCAGTTTAATTGCAATCCTTCATCTATTTTTAAACAGTAACTTAAAGTTTCTTTCAAGCATAAGATTCTGATAAATCGATTGCAGATATAGGCCCACAATAACGGTAAGTGCCATTCTTTACTCTCACGTCCTGGAGCTCAAATAATGACTTGTTCAATTTATTACAAGAGAGAAAGTAAGGTCATCAGTGAAACATTTGAAAACTCTTTAATGTGATTGTACCAATAAGCATATCTTTATTCTATTTCTCTGGCTACTAAAATACATGAAAATCATCCACAAAAAAGATATGCTCAGGAAAATATTTTCAATTGTCGATGAAACAGTACAAGACAGGTGATATTATTGGCAGCCCAGGATATAAATCAATTGTTTTTAAATTAACATATGCTTTATCTCTAATATTTTCGTTTTCACTTTTCAAATTTCAACCCTCCTAGAAACTCACTAATTTTTACTGGTTTGGTAGGAATTTTTTCGTCTTGATAATCAGATTACATGAAAGCGATAGACACAGCTGCTGATCCTGTTCAGATAATGGTCAAAATCTTTGTAAACTAAATTTTGACATGGTGTTAGTGATGACATAAAACTCACATTGAAAGGGTGTAAGAGAAGGCTAGCTGAGGACTGATGAAATGGATCTCATATTCATGTAACAACATTTGCAGTGCAGCTTTAAACCTATCAAGGACACCTTTAACTTAAATAACTAAGACTGCTTGTTAAAATTAGAGACTTAAAAAATTGGAACCCCATAGCTGTAGAACACAAACAAAGGTTGTCTTTGAAGTCTGGGAAAAGATAGAGAAGCACTCAGTGAACGAGATACAATTGATGTAAGTGAGGAGTTACGGATGACAAGTTCGGTGGAAATGTGTAAGATGATTATTTTTTTGTAAAAAAATCGACTGAAAAGAGATTGATATAAGACATCAGCGTTACAGATTCTTTCCAGTCTTCTCTGAGAGGACGCGATGAAATATAAAAATGTCGGCTCAGTATCCCTTGCTTCAACATAATCGACTAAGATCGCCCTGGATCTTGATTTTGGAGGATAAAAGCTTACGTTATAAAGAAAGAATATTCCCGAAGCAATATCAGTAAATATATCATGAGACCCTACGTGATCATCCTGTTTACCAGAAATATTCTTGCAATGAATGTTTTCAATGAAAAAAATTTCGCTGTGGTCTACTGTACGCTTTCATCAAATGTTTTTACCGCTCAACTAGGTATCTTTGAATAACAAATGTATGATAATTCCTCAGCGTATCCGATAAACTTCCACGAAAACGACTCCGTTAACTAATCTCGCATCTCTTTGGAGACCGCCTCCACAGAAGAAATAAACGAGCGACAAGTAATTTAGGATAGGTCTTAAGTCAAAAATGACACAAAAGATTCTAAGTATTCGCATTTCTATTGACTACAAACACAGGCTTCTTTTATCTATAATGGCACCTTGGTTTGAAATGAATATTAATTTTAAAAAAACCTGTGTCATGGTTTAAGAGTTCGCGAAGGTGGCCTCATTTGTTCAACCAAATTTATATTAAGATCCAACCCCCTCAGGCTGAAAAAAAGACGAAATAAAATGAAAATTAGTAGATAAGAAATATTTTGCACTGAAAATCAATTTACTCATGGAAATATTCGCTAGCTTATTAGCTGATCTCTGATAAAAAATGAGTCGGTATCCCTTTCCTCCAGTTGGATAGACAAAGTGATTGTTTTTACCCAGAAAACATCTGGATTATATCAGTGCGAAAGCGATAACTATTTTCAAATCTACCTGCTAAAGAGCGAGTGAAAATAAGACTCAAAACAACTTAAATCTTGATCAATTCAGCACTTCACGGACCAAAACGAAATAAAGTCGTTCTCTGCTCTTGTTTAGATAACTGTGATCAGGAGTTTACAACTTTGTGTTAAATTCTGCACTCAAGGCATATACGCGAAGCTAATAATGTAAGTTTTATGTGCGATGAGCTAGTGCTATTTTCAGCTTCCTATACTGTTTATGTGCGTCTCCAGCCGAGCTTAACTGCAAGCCCGCGGTCATTGAGCTGCGCAGCTAATGGCATAATTCTGACCGAACACCAGGTCTTAGAACTTCGGTCTGAGCCATTGCTCCGAGACACACGCTTTGTGAAAGAGATTCCTCGTGTAAGATTAACTGGAATAACTCTAAAGAATTACTAAAAAAATGTTGGCCTAGCGAACTTTTTCTCGAGTTGTGTCGTGATATACCATAGTTTTTTAGTGCAATGGCATATTCGTATATTTCCTATAAATCATTAGAAAGCGACACAGCCCCTTGGTTTATTAACTCGTTGGAGCTGAATTATTCATAATAGAATTGTCTATATTCAGTAAAATAAGATGTCTGGCGTGTTTATTTCAGGTTCTGAGCAAACGAAGACGTTTTTCATTACTTTCGTCATATTAATTTATGTTTTTTGTCATTTAATGCTGCATTAAGCTTGAAAGATATATGTCAAGGTGAAAAATGTGCTATGCCAAAACTAATTTCATATGTAACATATCTCTACCATAACAGTATTGGCAAAGTTGTAGCCATGGATGTCTGAAAGGATATAAATCATTGGGCGACGAAAATAAACAATGTTTTGAACTACAAAAGATAATTATAAGGCCTAGGGGCAATCAATGCACCTTTAGAAGTCAAGGTAAAATTCAAAATAAAAGTTATGGTAAGACATTCTGCGGTGCATTTTGGCTCTTTCATCGCTGACACTAATCAAGAACTTCTCCATGCCAGAGGTAAGATATATCTTTAAATTTCCCTTAATTTCCAACAAGGAAAAGGAGGAAAATGTTTTGTCATCATAGAAAAA